AATCAATATTGTCTTTTAGCTTGATGGTTCATAAAGCATGTTACTTGAACAGTATGAATCAATTATGCAATTTTCATGTTCAATTTAACACTGCATTTCAATTCATTTCATATGTAATTGGAGTTTGAATTTAAATTTCAATTTGAGTTTGAATTTCAATATATATTTCGGCTCCACTATAAATATTAGCCCAAGCTAATATGCATGTTATCATTGATTATTCCTAATTTCCATTGTTTTTTTCTAACGTTTAAACGCGAGGGAAATCCAGACCATTGTATTTTTTGGTCAACTTTAAAGCGTCAGAAACGTTTCGGGCGTATGATCTGGGTGGTAAACAAATAGCAACTAAAATCTAAGTCCGAAATGCTTCTGAGTACCACCCAAATCATAAGTCTGAAATACTTCCGATGCTCATCAAAATCCAAAGCTCATATGGTGCCAAGCAAAAGGAAATCAAAATTCAAATCTCATATGATGCCAAGCAAAAGGAAATCAAAATCTACAACTTGATTTTGAACATTGATATGATATGTTCAGTTGTTATCATGTTGGGATTTTCTCGTTTTTGATTGCTTGGATAGTTGTTCTCTTACTTCTTCAAGTGTCCTTAGCTTGTAATTTATAGCTTGGAATGTTTGATGTTGTATATTATTATTAAATTAAAAACAATAAACATATATTACATATTTATTATTCTTTGGTTAATGTTGTTAAATTAAAAATTCTAAATAATATTTTATAAAATATCAAAAATCAAATAATTTTTTGTGCAAATGAAATTATTAAATTAATATTGTAGGTGGAAAACATGAAACACTATTAAAAAAATTGAAACATAAATTACATAACTTTAAAAGAAGTATCGATCCTTTTTATAAAAGGTATGGACACTTTCAATATAATAGGTAAAAATATGATGTAATAGGTAGCGCTTATATAATGTAATAGGTATCGTTTATATAATGTAATAGGTAGTGGTTATATTGTAAAGTGTCTATCCTTTTTATAAAAGTGTCCATACTTTTTTCACTGTGGAAAACATTAATTTAAGGTTATCTTTTGAGTGAGTTTTAAGATTTTAATTTAGTAATTATAGGCGTCTAATGATTTATTTTTTACGTTACGATATATATTTAATATTGTTAAATTAAAAATTCTAAATAATATTTTATAAAATATCAAAAAATCAAATAATTTTTTGTGCAAATGAAATTATTAATATTGTAGGTGGAAAACATGAAACACTATTAAAAAAAATTGAAACATAAATTACATAACTTTAAAAGAAGTATCGATCCTTTTATAAAAAGTATGGACACTTTCAATATAATAGGTAAAAATATGATGTAATAGGTAGCGCTTATATAATGTAATAGGTATCGTTTATATAATGTAATAGGTAGTGGTATATTGTAAAGTGTCTATCCTTTTTATAAAAGTGTCCATACTTTTTTCACTGTTGAAAACATTAATTTAAGGTTATCTTTTGAGTGAGTTTTAAGATTTTAATTTAGTAATTATAGGCGTCTAATGATTTATTTTTTACGTTACGATATATATTATTATTAAATTAAAAATTCTAAATAATATTTTATAAAATATCAAAAAATCAAATAATTTTTTGTGCAAATGAAATTATTAAATTAATATTGTAGGTGGAAAACATGAAACACTATTCAAAAAATTGAAACATAAATTACATAACTTTAAAAGAAGTATCGATCCTTTTTATAAAAAGTATGGACACTTTCAATATAATATATTGTAATAGGTAAATTTGTAATACTATCGGTATAAATATACCGGTTTACTTATAAATTAGGTAAATATAAGCACTACCTATTACATTATATAAGCGCTACCTAGTATGTTATTGTACTTTATAATATTTCCGGTTAAATAATATAACATAACCGATATAAATTTTAACCGGTCACTTGTTTAACCGGTCACGCCGTATATTAGCCGTTTTTTAGGCGCCGCACCGCAGAACTACCCATGGATGGTTAACCACTGGAACAAAGCTAAATATTTCGTTTGAAATTGACTACTGGTGGTATACATATATATATATATATATGTTGTATCTTAATTTGTAGATTAATAGACTACATGTAGTATATATGTTATATCTTAGTGTAATCTTAAATTCTTAATATTATATCTTAACTTAAATTCACATATTAAGTTAAATTCACATCTTAACATTAAACAATATATTTTATTTTTAACTTATTAAATATGTTTTATTCTTATGTTAACTAAAAAATTATTTTAATATTATCTTAACTCAGAATTTATATTTTATTCCTACCGTAACTTAAAAGATATATCTTATTCTTATCTTTAACTTTTAAAAATATTTTTTTTATCTTAACTTATTACATATATTATATTCTTAACTTAAATTATTAAATATTAATATATATATATTATATTCCTACCTTAAATTATTAATATTTATTTTTATTTTAACTTAAAATATGTATTTTATTCTTATCTTAATTTAAATATATTTATTATTTTAATTTTAATTTAAAAATGTATATTTTATTCTTATTTTAATTTAAGAAATAAATTTTATTTTTATCTTAACTATAAAAAATATTTATTTTCATCTTAATTTTAAAATATTATAAGAAAAAATATAGATATTTAAATTAAAGTAAAAGCAAAATATATTTTTTTAATTTAAGATAAGAGTATTTTTTTTACTTTAGTTAATATAAGAATAAAATATATTTTTTGTTTATCCAAAAAAAATTAAAATTACACTAAGATACAACGTATATTGCACACCTGTAGTCCATTTCAAACTAAACATATAGACTCAGGATTGGTTCTCATGGCCCTCTTATTTTAGCGTTCTCAATTTTCTTTCCACCATAGCGTGACATGTGTCATCCTCTGATTGGTGAAAAATAAATCTATTAAATTAAATTAAAATAAAATAAATTTAATCTTCTAATTAGATAGTGACACATGGCACTATCCGATTCAAGAGCTAAATTTATTTTAATTTATTAAAATTATGATCAAATAGATAGAGTATATAAATAAAAGTGACCAAATATGTAATTATATCAATTTTATTAACTGTCACGTCAGTACTTTCGTCAATGTTAACAACATGTGGCTTAATTGAATGTATTTAAATAGTTGAGTGACCCAATTGACTAAATTTAAAAAATAATGGTCAAAATGAAAAGAGAGTATAGTTATGTGGTCAATGGTATAATTTACCCAATAATAATAGTATTTATTCCCTATTTTTTATCAGAAAAATGATTGATCATTTCTTAAAAGAGATCGATCCCTAGATTTTTAGCTCTAGTTGAACTATTCTAAAATTATATTTCGAAGTCTCTGGTTACTATTTCAACACATGTGTAATTAAAATAAAATGTTTATAAATTAAGTACTAAATATTTAAACTTATAATTGAGGGTTAATTTGTACTCAATTGATTTGGATTTTTCCTACGAATTTATCTACTATTTAATTTTACGCTTGAACTGCAAAATTAGGAAAATTATGTTAATACTTAAATTTATTATCAGAATTTAAATTAGTCCCTAAAAATATTTATTTTCTTAGTTGGAGGCCTGAATGATGTCCAAATGATGTGAAATTTTGTTTGTTGGGTTAAGTTAGGGTTTTGTTAGTTAGTTGTTGAGTTTCTTCAACTACATGATTGGTTTTGAGTTTATAGCACTATTGACGGGATGTGCATTTCTGTTCTTTGAGTTGTGTTGTGGTGTTTGCTTCAGTATTGTTTTGTTAGGCTGTTTGTGGAGGTTCTCTAGTGATTGGGTTTTGCCGTGGTTACAAGTATTTCTGGTTGACTCGCTTTAACTGTTTTTGCGTGCGGGGTCGATCTTCGTTAAAGTTATGGTGTAATGTAGTGATCAGTAGGGTTGGCGTTCCTGGTTCTTGCTGACAGTCCCCGTAGGTGCTGTATTGTGGTATCATTGTATTAGTTCTCTTTCCACCTCTTGGTACACTCTTTTTCCTCCAATTAGGGTTAGTGAGGTTTTTTAATGAGAACAAATGAAAATATTTAGCTTTCATTTGTTCACATCATTTTATTTTTAACTTATTAAATATTTTATGAAAATATCTTCAAGCATGTAAATTGACGTTCAATGTAATTTTTGTGCGAATGATATTGTACTCAGCATGTTAGTTATATGTGATCTTCTATTGTATGTTGTTTTTTTTATGCAAGCATAAACAATAGCAATTCATATCAGATCACTTTCTTGATTAATGTGATATTTAGTATTCGGGTTAGGCTGTTCTAATCGAATATTGAGTGTTACACTTTTTTGTTTAAGTAGAGAGCCACAATCGATGATTCTATAGAGGAGAGGGAGAGAACAGCTACACTGAAGATGACAATAAACAATCATCGAGATAGAGATGTACAGAAGGATCCCAAGGGGGATGTAGTACCAGCCCTATTCTCGACTTTAGATGATGGCTTATATATAAATCCTTAGTGTAGGTTTCAAGCCTAGGATGATGATGGTTATTTGTGAGTTGGCAGGGCAAGCATATATGATTTTCAAATAGTACATTGTAGATCATGCATGCCTTCCAGAGGTCAAGTCAAGGGTATATAGTTGTTCAAAGAATATGAAGCTTTAGAGGTTTTGAGGAACTCCGAAGGATATGAAACTTCGAAAGTTTCGAGAATTTTTAGAGACCTCAATATTTGATAGGTGAAGGAATGACAACATAGGTGTAACTTTCTTTTGAATATTATAATTTGAATTGCCTTTTAAAATTTATTGTGAAGATTAAAAATGTGGGTTGTGAATTGATGAAATTATTGCTCGGAGCGTGTTATAGTATTCTCTACTTGGATGACATTTTTTGATATTAATGAAAAAAATCAAATATTAAAATTCAAACTTAAAATTAAAGGAATAAAAACAAGCTAAACATAATAATTGTATTAATAAAGTATAAGTAATTAATGAGATTTTAAACATTCATGAATCACCTGGCATGGCATAACGACACACTGGACACAAGTGACTCTTTTCTAGCCATTCTTCAATACATCGGTCATGAAACACATGCCCACAAGGCATACGTTTAGCTTGTTTCTTCTCTTCTTGGAAGCAGACCACACACTCAAACTCGGAGTCCAAATCCGAAACTTTCTCCAACGCTTCGATGCTCGACTTACTAGCCGGCACAAACCCGATTTCCTCGTCGGCCTCACTATCATGGTTTGTCATAAACACTCCGAATGCCGCAACAATCAATGACTTGTCTACGTTCTTGTTGTGTTCAGCTCTACACATGGAGTCGATATGGTTAAAGATTTCGGAATCACTGTCGACCTTGAATTCTTTGGGGATTTCATGCTCCCATGGGGTGAATTTAATCGATTCGTCGAATAGGTTTCGGTGAAACATATTGCAGATTTTACTAGGATCAGAGTCGTTATGGCGATCGAGGAAAGCATGACAGTAGCGATACCGGCCGTAAAGTTGAGGGGTATGAACTTCATGCTCGTAGTCTTGTGGGGTTTGCTCTTGCATACGTACACTCGTCCATATGTCGAAGTAGTACCAAGTCCCATCGTCGGCGTACCATGAACCAGAATCCCTCTGCATCTTTAAGACAATATCGATCCTTGATGCTTAGGGTTTTTTATATTTCTTGTTATCTTCCGATTGTTTTGGTGAAAAGTTCTTTAGCCTGCCCTATTTATATACACACACATCTTCAACTCCAACTAAAACACGAAATATGTAATCCTATTCCTAAAATAATTGTGTTTAGTCCAATATAATATTTTAATATCACTTTATTGAATAAACTGGTACAGCAAGCATGACTGGAACGCCACGGAGGACAGACCAATGGGAAGCGCCTCCGAGGGATTGGGTCAAGATAAACATAGACGGTACATGTCTTATGACAGTTAGGATATAGAAATATTTTTTATGATAGGCACATATACATTAATAATATAAATTTTTCGTGTTGAGTGAGTATAAATAAAATTTTAAAATGAACACTATCAACAAAGTAAATAATTAATTAAAAGAAATTCAGATTTTATAATAGATTGAAGTACACTTTGCATCCGCCCATATGACAGTTGCAAACATACAAAGGTTGCACTGGTTTAAATGATTTTAAATGTTTAACAGTCAAATAACTGGTCACTAAAGAACCTAATTTCATAAGACTTTTTACCTAAAATAATTATTTACTTATTAAATAAATTCAATCATTAAGTAATATTCAATCACTATAATTACAATAAAATCAAATTCAATTATTAATTAAAATTTGAGTCAATATTTAATAAATTTTAATTTTAAAATTTAAAATCTAAATTTTCATACGAAGCATTAGAGTCCATGCATGTGTTAACGATTTGGCTTTTATCCTGTTAAAATAATAAATTGGTTTATGTTGATTTTTTTAAAAGTTATAATTTATAGTCAATTAATGAGACGAATAACGGTTGTTATATTAGAAAAGTATAAACATATAAATTAAATATGAGGCACGGATAAAGCGATTTTATTGGTAAAGGAATTATTAATATTCCTTAAGGTCCCAAGTTTAAGTACCATGAATTCTAAGAGTGTGAGTGTTTAATATCAAATGATTAAGAGTTATCTTTGAACAGATACTATTCCGTACTTACATAAGATTAATAAAAAAATATGAGATATTCATTAATTTTCTCTATTTTTTCTTAGTCGTCATTAATCTCTTTTTTTTTCTATATCTTTGTAATCGATGGTGGTACGAACCTTGGTATTCATTGTTTTTCTTATGCTTTATTATAGCATGTTTTTATTTTTTATTTTTAATAATTATGTTTTTACGGCACATTTTCAGTCGTTGTTTTCCTTTATCTTTTTTTTCAAGGTTGAATTTGACATCGTCATGACTGATCAATATAATGCTTATTTGTTATCATGATTATTTTCCCTGCTTTGGACCCTTGGATTGGATTTGGATATGATATTTACGTTTGTGGATAGTATTTTCACGTCGTTCGATTCTGATTTGTGATTTCTCGGTAGTCTTTCAATAGTTTCAATCCCTTTTGTGATACGCTTGCTGATGCGGTCAGATATATTCGTATATACCTTTTGTTCGAGTTTATTTGGTTAGGTTTTTAAACATTTTCCTTGTATGATCCTTGTGTGATCTTAAGTGGCTAATATTCTTATGTTTAGAAAAATGTTCTTATTATGTGTTTAGTTTATAGTTGTGTTTATAAACCTTTATTGTAATTTGGATATTTTTATTTTTAATAAAATTAGCGACTTATATAAAAAAACTGAGATATTCATTAACTTATTATAATTTATCTTTATAAAATAAATTATATTTTTGTAAAATTAAAATTCATATAATTTAAAAGTTTCATTATCATCCAAAAGAAACGACATAGCATATCTTGTTCGTCGTAAAATTCAAAAAAAGTTATAAGTGCTTATAAAGTGTTGGTGCTTGGATGGCATTTTTTTAATAAATGAAAATAAAAATAAATAATATTAAGATTCAAACTTAAATTTAAAGAAATAAAAAAAATTAAACATAATAATTGTATATTAATGAAAAGTATATAATTACAGTACTTAATGAGATTTAAACATTCATGAATCAATAGGCATGTTATAGCGACATAGTGGACACGAATGACTCTTTTCTAGCCATTTTTCAATACATCGGCCATGAAACGCATGCCCACAAGGCATGCGTTTAGCTTTTATCTTCCCCTCATCAAGGCAAATCGCACACTCAAACTCAGACCCCAAATCTAAAACTTTCTCCAACGCTTCAATGCTCGACTTACTAGCCGGAACAAACCCGATTTCCTCATCGATCTCACCGTCGTCATCGCTGGAATAGTCATGATAAGTATCATAATTCATCTTAAACACTCCGAATTTCACAATGATCAAGAATTTATCTATGTTCTTGTTGCATTTAGCTCTATATGTGGAGTCAATATAATTAAAGATTTCGGAATCGCGGTTGATCTTGAAATCTTCAGGGATTTCGTTCTCCCACGGGGTGAATGTTGTTGATTCCTCGAATAAGTTTTTGTAAAAAATATTATAGATTTTACTAGTATCGAGGTCATTGTGGTGTTCGAGCAAAGCATGACAGTAACGAAACCGGCCGCAAAACTGAGAGATATGAACTTCTTCCTCATAGTCTTGTGGGATTTGATCTCGTGTAAGTTCGCCCATCCATTTGTCGACACAGTACCAAGTCCCATAATCGGCGTACCATGAACCAGAATCCCTCTGCATCTTTAAGACAATACGGGATGCTTGATGCTCAGGGTTTTTTATATTTCTTGTTATCTTCCGATTGTTTTGGTGAAAAGAGCTTTAGCCTGCCCTATTTATATACACACACATCTTCAACTCCAACTAAAACACGAAATATGTAATCCTATTCCTAAGAGAATTGTGTTTAGTCCAATATAATATTTTAATATCACTTTAGTAACTACGTTTACTCTTCTTATTATCTAAATACTATGAATCTCATTCTAAATTGGTCCTTCAATTTTTGAACATTCCAATTTCATCCCCAAACTGTGACTCTCATTTTAAATTGGTCCTTCAACTTTTGAACATTCCAATTTCATCCCCAAACTATGACTCTCATTCTAAATTTGTCCCCAAACTTTTGATTCTTCCAATTTCATCCCCAAATTCATCCAAATATATAATCAATTTCAACCATAGTTCAACCTAAATTTTATTTTTTAATAATATAATCTGACCTAACGATGGATGTGATTAGTATATACGTATAATTTGGATTGAAATTAAAATGTTCAAAAAGGTTAGTGACCAATTATTCCTAAAATAATTGTGTTTAGCCCAGTTTAATATTTTAATATCACTTCATTGAATACGTTTACTCTTCTTATCATCTTAATTAAGTATTTACCTTATCCAAAAAAGTATTACTATTAATCTTGAATCAATTAAATATGGAAGACTCGGCTTTAAGGTCAGCCAATACATGGGTTTTAATTGTGTGTCTCGGGATGAATTCGATGTCGAATTCACTCAACGTTAATTTTCTAATGGTAAGTGAATAAAACATAATTTTAAGTATAATTTTTTTTTAAAAAAAAGAAATAGTTGAATAACTAAAGCACAATCGCAGAAATAGTTGAATGACTAAATGTGTAATCTTCTCGTTATATTTTTCTCTTTTTCTGCATTTTGTCTTTCATCTCTACGCATAAAATCCTAGCAACGGCACTACTCTCTTTTATCCGAGCTTTTGAAATTAAACTTTCTTGCATATTCAGGGAGCTTTCAAAACTAGTTTGAATAACCTGGTTTTTGCAGTTTGTATATCGTTCCTGATACGTATCCGAAAAGTTTTCCAACGTAGCTAATTAATTTCAACCGTACCCCTTAAATATGAGACGTTTCCGATATATACTCAAGTTGTACTCATCCCGTAGCCATGTTAAAGACGTATCAGGTACTTGATACGACACTAAATTATCGTACCCGTGCTATATAGCATTTATATATCATGGGTTTTCGACATGCTAGAACCTTATTGTTAGTGTAAGGAAAATCACTTCCGTTTTTTGCAATAAAAGAAGAGCTAAAATTTTCAGGTTAACAAGTCTTATGACAGTTTGACGGATTTGGAGATATTTTTTTACGATAGATACGTATATATCGACATAAATTTTTTTTGTGTAATGCAAATAAAATTTTAAGATGAATACTATCGATAAAATAAATAACTAATAAAAAATTCAGATTTTAGGATAGACTGAAATACACTTGCATCCGCCCATATGACAATTGCAAACATACGAAGGACGTCGCACTGGTTTGAATGATTTTGAATACTTAACGGTCAAGGAATATGTGAAGTAAGCAGGCCCCTTTTCAGTCATGTAATCAATTCCATCTATAAACGGAAAACGCAATTTCATCTGAGCAAATTAATTTTGATTTTTGTCTAATAAAATGATGTCATATTGATGCGGTATCTACATCGACAGTAATTACGTGTCGTTAACGATTTAACACTTAAGTCCAACGGTATCAAGTTTACTCTAAACTAAATGAAAGAACCTTTAATAAGTTGAATTATAACAAAATTCAACCTAATTTCTAATTAGAAGGATCCAGATAGAGAGTAAATTTGAATAGATTTATGGTGTATTTACTCAATTCTTAGGGTACGGGTAGAGAGTGATCCGAGTATTTATTTGGGTTTGCCATTATTGGCAAGGAAGAATGAAGACAATCATTTTTTAGCATTTATCGTTGACAGAGTTGTGCAGTGTAGATATCCTTGCAAACACAACTGTTCGAATCTGATATTTTTAGAAAAAATAATGTTTTCTTTTATCACTGAGGTCGCTTGATCATCCTTCGTAATGTTATTGTTTAGGCTGTGATGCAGACCATTTGACTTGTATAATGCCATGCTATTTGTTGCTTGAATACCTATTAGATGACACTGTGACTGCTACATATATTCTGAACAATTGGTTTAAAATTTGAACCCGGAATGGGTGCCGCAAGCCACCAAGTTGATGAGAATTTGAACGAAAGAATGCGACATTCTGGAAAGTCCCGAAATCCGGTCCAGCGGCATGGGACACTAACTGCTTAACATTGAACAACAACCGGTGGAACATATGCTATGACTGCAAATCATGCAAGACTGGGATTCTAGCCAAACAATGGAGGTGTTGAGAAGAAAGAGGATCGAGCAACATTAATGAAAGAATTACTTGAAAGTTGACTACTTGCACCACGAAGGAACTTGGTGCTTGTAGTACCGAAACGTTTAGCGGCTGCCGGAAATACCGTAGATGGTGACAAAATCTTGACTGCCGAAAAGTTGTACGTATCAGTTCCAAGTCAACTCTGTAGCCACCCTCTGCTTCCCGATAACTCGTCGGTCACCACAAAACAGTTGCTGAAACCGAGACTCCCTAATGTTCTCGCCACCGTTTTCGCTGAATTCGAAGATCAAAAAAGAAAAAAAAATGCCAGTGCTTTTAGTATTGAATTCGGGTTTCAATTAAATCAAGTTTCGATTCGAATAGATCAGATTTTGAAGTTTGGATGATGAGATGGGGACATAATAAGAACTTACGAATCCAAGATTACAATGTTTGAGCCTTTGTTGATTTCTTGAGATACGAAACCTTCAATGCTGCAATTTCTGCTTCTACTTTCTTGGTATTTCTCACCAAACTTGCTTGGCAACTCCTCCAAACTGAAACATAGAAGCCATTGATGGATTATTTTGTCCATAAACAAACGAAAATTTATGACATTGCTATCAACATATAACCCGTATCGGATACATATCCATATCAAATTCTCATACTTGATCCCGAATAACCGACCACGAGACTGTTAGCACTATGAGTCTGTGCACGCCAACACTTCTAGAACATATAACATGAATGATTCTAGAAGTCTTCTAGGAGTTAAGTTGTTAAAGATCTGTTGAGGTTGTTAGCAGTTAGTTACAAATTCTGTATCAACCTTGTAAAGTTGTATATAAGAGTGTAAGAGGTGTAGATCAATAATATACTTCTTCATCTTCTTCATTCTGCTTCCATGTGTTCATTAGCTTAGATCATATATCCAACATGGTATCAATCACCATTGATCGTGGGATCAAGTGTTCTTACTTCCGCTCGTGAATCTAAATTCTTGCAGATCAACTCAACCATGGATCTTACCTCCACGCCGTCTCGAAGCTTCTCCAACAAGAAAGTTAATGTGGTTCTTGATGAAACCAATTTCTTGCTTTGGAAACAGCAGATCTTACTTACAGTCAGGAGTCATCGGCTGGAGCGACTGCTAACCGGTGATGTCTCCTCACCACCCATGACGGTTGTTGATCCAAATGGTGAGACTCGCGTAAATAATGAGTATGAAGATTTTGTCGCGCAGGACAGCGCACTGGCATCATGGCTTCTTTCAACGATGAGTACACATCTACTTCCTCAATTTGTTGGAGCTTATACTGCTGCTGTCGTTTGAGAAACGGTTCTAAAGTTCTTTGCAAATCGCTCAACTATGTCTGTTATGAGTCTGCATTATAAATTGCAGTCTATAAGGAAAGGTAATGATAGTATGCGAACTTATCTCACTCGCATCAAGGAAGTATGTGATGCTCTTGCCTCCTGTGGTAGTGCAGTTCTACCAGTTGAGCAAATTGTGACAATCTTGAAAGGTCTTCCACGTGAGTATCAGCCCTTCATGGCTGTTGTTTCTACCATGAAAGAGGATCTTTCAATTAATAACATACATACAATGTTGATGGATGTTGAGGTCCAAATTGCAAGATTTGATGAGCAGCAGGAAATTCTGCCAATGAGTGCCAATTATGCTCGAGGAGACACTGATCGTAGCAACACTAATCGTTCAGAACATAGGAACAGTCGTGCTCCGTCATCTGGTTCTAGATCGAGGAATGGAGGTCGAGGGCGTGGCCGAACACGTGTCCAATGGCAACTTTGTGGGAAGCCAGGTCACTTGGTTGACCGTTGCTGGCACATATTTGATGAAGACTTTAATTATGTTACTACCAATTCTCACTCTCCCAAAGAAAGTTCCTCTAGTTACTACTCCTCGTCTGGCTCGTCTTCTACCAGTAACCAAGGTTGTGAGTGCTGCTCACATATAAAGACAGACTCTCAAGCAAATATGGCCACTGCTTCTTCTGAACGATGGGTGGTGGACTCGGGTGCCACCCACCACGTTACACCAGACAAAGCAAATCTTACCAATTCCACTGATTTCCATGGGCCAGGTAAGATTACAGTTGGTAATGGTGTTTCTCTTGACATTCGAACAGTTGGTAGGGCTACTTTACCTTCTACATCCAGAATTTTAATGTTGCATGATTTGTTGCACGTCCCTCATATAACGAAGAATTTGCTTCGGTTTCGAAGTTTGCTAGGGACAACAACATCTTTTTTGAATTTCATGCAAATAACTGATGTGTACGTGATGAGATTACCAAACATGTGCTCCTGACTGGTGAGGAATCTGGAGGGCTCTACTCATTTGTGGTAAATTACACTGGAAAAGAAGACAGGTGCACTACTGCTGATGTTAGTTTAGCTACTAAAACTGTGACTAGTGAGCTTGAGGAGTTATGGCATAGAAGACTTGGCCATCCCTCCACTGAAACACTAAGACAAGTAACTAAAGAGCTCGATGTAAAACTTTATTTTGATATTAATAAAACATGTACTGCTTGTCAAATGGGTAAAAGCCATAAATTA